TAAAATAAGAGAGAACCGAAGATTTATCGGTTTTAGGCATAATAGCAGTTTCATGTTTGCTTTACGCCTAGCTTCATATTAACGGCTCACAAGTGAAATGAATCGTGACATATTAGGAACGCCATCGGACCAAACGTCATTTTTAGAATTATGACTAATCATTTTTGTTGCTATTTATTTGTACGTTATTCGAATTCACTGTTAACGCCATTGGCAAGTTAACGACATTGGCAATTTTGCTATAGTCTTAGAAGATACTAGCCGTGCTCGCCCGCTTTGTTGGGCATTTAAAATTAACATTATTATTTATTGTCATTATTATTAGGGAGTCCAACGCTCATATAAACATTAGCCTATCCATTAAGTACATGTATTTTCTACATGGATACCAAGTTTCAAGTCAATCGGATGCATGGTTATAACGGAACATCCGTAAAAACCACTGTACATTTATATACATATTAGTATAGATAAAAATACGTCGAAACCTCGATAACTAAAGCTACTAGATCTAGGATGTCTATTTTATTCTTTGTTTTGCCATCGCTTCGTTGTGACTGCTTGTTAACACCAATAAAAAAGAACGTGTTAAATTTTCCGCATTAAGGAGCAGTGCCAACATTCTTTCAACACAGACAGGCACAATAAAATTTGAGTTTTTTTTTTTTATCATGCAGAACTCAAAGACTGTTGTTTGACAGAAATTTGAGTTTCTTTTTTCAAATCGTAAACACTCGAAGCAGCATATATAAAAACATGACGTCATTGGAACATTTAAAAATATTAAGGGGCAGCTATTATCATTAATCTTGTATCGTTCCAGCTCGTTGGTAAGCTCTCCCGTGTTGACATTTGTGGCTAATTAATGAATCTCGTCACTAAGTGTGGCCCGTCCCGCAATTTGAAAGCTTCCGGAGTCGTGCCACCAAGGACAGACCTCCGTGAATTTATCACTGTACATAAAATGCCTAATAGTACATTTTGACTAATTGTCGTAAGGTTGTCAGGTTGTGTAAATGCGAAATCATCTTTTAAATATCGTTACCGCGATTCAGGTTTTCTATGCGATATTTTTCTGACGCTACGAATTTTAAAAAATTATTGCGTATCTGTTGCAACTTACTCTATATTAATTCGGATTATATTATAAATTTTGGTCGTAGCAGATGAACCATATTTTGGCGGCAAAATGAGGTTTCTTCCTGTGCAGGTTTATTCATAATTCAAAAATTTTTGGCTTAGTCTTGTGTTTTCTATTGTCCGTGTTATATTATTTCCGACGTTTCAAATACTTTACAGTTTTCGTGGCTATGGGTGACTACACCCCTTTGCCCTAACAACAAAACGTTATTTTTTTCTGGATGTATAGACAGAAAAGTTAATACAACTCTTTGCTCTATAGCAGGGTATACGCATGTTTTGACCAGAAAATAGTTTGGGTAATAGAATTTTTTCTCAAAACATATAATCGATATTTGGAATAATTTATATTGATATTTGTAACATTCCATTCCCATTTAAAAGTGAAGCTATCTTATGCTATTATTGGGGAAGTTCCCGGAAAGTATTTTGTTTTTGAAAATATATTTTTCTGCGGCCCTTCAGCTTTTTTAGTAAATTTAATTAGCCGGCAAAGTTATGTAGTTTGGATAGCCCTGCTCTATAGTATTGCCGTGGACTTTTCCAGAAGAAAGACTTCATTATTATTCTACTTCTACATATAAAGCAAGAAACGAAAATATAGCACTTAAATCACGAGCTTTCAACAAGATACAAAGTTGCGTCTATACATTAACAATTATTCATCGCAAACAATCTTATTCAATAAACGAATCTTTTATTGGCTATTTATCACACCTCGTAAACCGGGGAACGTACAAGCGTCAAAAAGTATTTCATAATAAAGTGTTTCCTGAGGAAATCTATAATTTGTACGTTCTTATCTGTAATTTTAATTGAAAACAGTCGCCACGGAATCTCAGAAATAGATTACGAGATCTCTGTCGGCTTTTTAACGCTTTTTTCTAAAGATTTAAAGTCGTTAAACTTTGACACTTTTTTAGACGGCCATCTTGTTTTTTATGCAACTCCTAAGTGAATGTCAGTGTCAGAAAGTAGCGTATTTTAGTTTTAAGTAAGCGCCAATCATTCCTTTGGGGATTGTGTGACGGGTATTTGACATGAACTGTTTTTAGATCACAGATCGCAGGAACTCTTATTTCGCAGCGCTTCGAAGATGTATTTTGGTTTTTTTTTAACATAATTCCTTATCGCATGTTACCGTTCAGATTTGTTTGCGGGCTGAGAGGTTAGGCAAAACAAAGTGTGCTAATGAAAAACTACACCAAAATTTAATGTCTTTTTGTAACGATTTTTGAGGCATCTAGAAAACTTAACTTTTTTATCAATTCAGCTCATCATTAATTTTGAGAATATATTTATTTGTAATTTTTATCTTTGATTAGAGTTTCAAGAGATCATATTATCTACCACAGCAGTTATGGGTTCCAAACAGTAAGGCTATTACAACAATACAAATACGAATTTGACATGCGTCGCGTGGTAGGTAAACTTAAAGCACATCAAAAAAAAATCGGCATTTCACAAAGTAACAACGTCCCGTTGATACGTTTTAGCGTAACTAGTAACTCTATACAGTATATTTCTCGGAAACTACGACCACCGCGCGTTCAAGTATCGGTTTCAATTCGAAAGACCGCCAGGCGTTCCGGCTGTCAGCATGTGTATCGGTGGACCGCGACATGTCATTCAGACAAACCGTGAAGAGCTGTCATTGAAAAGTCTACTACACTTTGTACATATCCCTGTACTAATAATTTAAATGGTAAGCCTGCGTTAGCAGTGTGCTTAGTGCGAGTTTCTTAACGTTCTCGTTAGCGTGAAAGTTAACTCTAATTTGTATGAAGTTCGAACGTTTCCCTTCGCTTGCCGCTAGGGGCGCTGCTCCAACTTCATACAACTTTGAGTTAGCTTTTACGCGATCGAGAAGTTAGAAAACTCGCATTAAACACACTGAAGTTACTTGAAATATTCTTATTCCCTAACCAAAGCGACAACGAGTAAGGATTTGAAATATTTAAATGGGAGTTTTTTTTTCATAATTTTGTGTGTTTTCGTGAACACACACTTGATCGTGTAGCGGTTATAGTCAACGAAAATTATTTGCGTTATCAAAGTGTTGAACGCACGACCGTACGACGCGCTTAATTCATTCTCGCACTTAAACACCAATAAATCTGATTAAATCAGGACCCGATGCGTTTAAATCCTTACAATTTCAAAGAGTTGAAATTTGTCTTGACGTAATTTACGAGGAGCGAGGGGCCGCGTTCGGTCGCGTTTGTCTCAGAGATCAAAGCCGCAGTCATCTGTTGAGCATGTAGGTCGCGCTGCCCCTCGGGGAGCACTGGAGACCGAAAAAAACAACCTAACATAACTTGTGTGTTTTGTAAATAATATTTTATTAACTTTCGTTTGCGCATCAGCCGACGGAAGCCGTTCATACTTTTTATCTTGACTTTTTTTGCCAATTTTTTTTCCCGAGAGTCAGAGAGAAGACTAAAGAGTAACCTAATTACAAGCACCTATTGTATTATTTTTTCTTTCTGAAAACAAATTAATTACAGAAAATTCCAAAACTAATATGGATATGCCGCAGTGAATTATCACTCTACAAGTTACTAGTTTTTAAATTTTCAGATAATAATAAGCTTTCAAGTATAGACTTCAACATGAAGAGGCTTATAATGACAGGTCAAGTGGATGGATGACGATCCAGAGGTCGAAGCCAAAAGAAATGGAGTGATCAAGAGTCCGAGCACCTGGACACAAGACTGGGCGACGCACTTCACATTGACACTGACCGACATAAGTGGCTACAGATCATACGGAAAGGTCTCAGGCGGGCACGTTACAATGCTGAGTTTTTTTTTTATCTATTCTAGTAAACACGAAGGGTTATTCTATATTCGCTGAGCTCGTAGGTGAGCTCGCGGGACTCAAAGCTGACGACGTTGCTAACACGAACCCTAGCAAGAGCCGTGCTTCGCAGAATCTACCACCGGATCGGAAACGCGACCTACTGAGAATATCCGTCGAGAAACTCAGTGGGCTGTGTCTGAGGGGATCCTCAGCAATGAGGGACCAATTGAATAGAGAGAGAGAGAGAGATATGCTCGAACGAAGAAATTTATTTAGAAAGAAAAAACCGATTTGCAAATGACTCGCAGCATATTTGACAGGCACACTTTAAGTACTTGTTCATTTATTTACTTTACAAACAGAGCTTAAATTATATTTTTAGAGTGCAGTAGACCATTACGTCGTATTTACAAACATTACAAACACGTTTTAGGGCATATTGTGATTTGTCCGTGAGTGACTAGAATAGGTAGTCCCTTAGGCTCCCAGCGATTAGGTAGTGAAAAAAAATTATGATTTCGACATTTACGGGAACGTTACTATGATAGTACCATCAATGCTATCGTGGTAATTAGACTTGGTATAAAGGACGATGTTTTTATTATAATTTAAATACAAGCGGAACGTGACCTGCAATGATAAGGATTGAATCTTATATTATAACGTCACGAATGTAATGTATTGCAAATATTTTGACTAAATTGATATTATATATATTTAATAAATACTAGCTGACCCCACAGACTTCGTAGTGCCTCAATCGATAAGTAAAAGATCTAAACTTTTGTATAAAATAAACTTAAAACAACCCACATCAAAGAAAAAACAAAATTACTATTTTTATTTAATTCCGAGCATTTTCATATTTATCTACTATAGATAATAAATAGCGTCTTTAAAAATGTCTTTTTCTTTAATCGAATAAAACGGCGCTCTACACATATGTACGTCACTTTGCTCTGTCATTAAAAAGACTATCCACAATAATTTCAATTTAACCAGGATACTCGAGGTCTGCCGCTTTCGCGTTCAGAGAAAAACAACAACTAACTGAAATATTATTTTTATTATTAGGGAATATTGCGTTGCTTCATTTTATTGTTTTGATGGTGGCTTAGTCCCAAGCTCCTTTGCAGTTGTAATGTCTGTTGATGCGAAGCCAGTCATCGCTGGTTACGTACAAACGCTGGCCCATCGCACCCGCGTGCTCCTGAAAATGATAGAACAATACGTAAATATTTAGCTTACTAAATAATTTGCTTAATAGTCTTACTGTGATTTAATTAATCGCAATGTTAATTTGACTATTTTTATGTATGGAGTGCATTTAAGAGCTTTTGTTGTAGAAAATCCAAAAACAAGGTCGTTTTTTTTTGCTAATTAGTTTTTATCATTTACGAATACGCCTGACTATTATTACCTCAAAATTGTATGTCAATAATAGTCATTATTTCCTAAAATTTACAGAAAATATGCTCCAAAATGCGCAAATACTATGAATGAGTTTATTACGGTTGGGTGGTGGAAAAATGAGTTCTTACCTTCAGAGCAACGATAGTTTTCCCTCCGTTTCGTGAGAATGCGTAAGGTCCGTAATGCAGACAACTGACATAGTCGTATTCAATGCCTAAGTTATCAATGAGGTCTTGTGTGTAGCTGTCGAAGTTGTGCTCGAGACCTGAAGTTTAATAGCAGTAAAGTACAAATAAAGCTGTTAAAATAGTTCTTAGGTTTTACATTAGCAAATAACATTAGCACGTTAGGAATATTGGTAGCGGCACAGTAAAAAAATGTGGATTAAGTTTGTAGCTATTTGATGTTATGTATATGCACAAAATACAGTGCCGGATTAGCCATGTAAAGCCCCAATGCTACGGGCCCCGTACCTCGATGAGACCCGCTCTTATACCGAAAAAAATAGCCCCAAACCTCGTACTTATGTGCTCATAATTAGCGCTGACCATAATATGATCACGATACTAGTGTTATTATATTACAAACATAATTATTTAGCATATAGCAGCACCCTGATTACGGGTGGACCTTAGGAACCAATCTCGGAAATGTGAATTATGAACTACCTATTTCATATTTTCTACAAGGTCCCCGCTAACTTTATGCGGCACTGGCAGAACAAGTCATTGATGACTTTTGATACTTCGATTTTGTAAAAGTGTAAAAAGTCTTTAGTGCTAAATTTATAGTCTGACTTTGTTAAACAAATCAATATTGTACACGGTACCTAATCAATAATAGCTAGTGCGTGGCGAAGAGTGTGATTACAACGAAATGCTGTCATAATTAGAGTGCTACATAATTTATTAGATATTTAATTGAAGCGTATAGTAATGTTCGGAGCTCCCCACATAATTGCAAATAGCGTTGACCTTCAATGCTATATTCTTTGAATACTTTTTCATCATAATCTTTTCGTTCATTCAGGATATGACCGCGACGTGTATTGTTTACTTACCAGGTGTAATGTTTTCTTCGATGATCTTAACATAGTCGTCTCTGTTGTAGGTGGCATGCATGTGGAGGAAGCCGAGGATGTGCATCCACTCGTGCACGATGGTGGCGTGGCGGAAACAGCCCACTCCTGGCTCATCGCGGGCAAGGTTCATCTCGTGCACGCCTCGTGGCTCCCAGTATCCGATGCTGGCATAACATCCATCAGCTTTACCCTGATCGCATAATTCAAAAGGTATAGTAAAAAATAAATGGTTATATAAATTAATCACACGCTGTATATAAAACTGCCGTTCTTACTTCGCAAGGCAGCTTTATCACAGTTGTCATATTTTTGTCACTCGTATTATTTAATTTAAATTAACATTATAAAACTCACACTACGTAGGTTTTTTTTTTGTTTTTTGTTGCCTAGATGCACTGATAGAATTACGCAGTTGACGGAATTACAAAATAAATGCCACCTTCCATTGTAAAACAGTTCCACCATCCGAAGTCATGCGTCACGATGACTTGACATAATACTACAATAGTATTAATTCAGAGTACTGATTTTGCGAATTTCATTTTCACATCGTTTCATTTAATTTCATCATAATTGATTACAGTCCTAAATAAATCAACTTCATTTCATTTCATATCAGTTTCCAAATGAGAGGGTATGTAATAAATGACACAAAATTCGATGGACAATTCCAATACCTTTTCCTTTGATGAGAGAAATGGCGCCATCTACTTTCTGATTTTCAATTATTTAATTAACACCTTGTATAACATCACTAACTGCGTCAAAATTTATTGACTTCGATTATTGTTTTAAGAATACAATTTTTAATGTTAATGTTTTAATGAATAAAAATTATATATTTTAAACTTCAAAACGTGTATTATTTCTGTTGCAACACTATCCTTTTTTCCATAATATTTTTTTTATTTCCATTTCAATTATCTACAAAACTAAAAAAGAAACTAATAAATAATAAATAAAAAAAACAATAGGAAAATACTAATCTTGTAAAAAAGACACGAACAGATAATCATTTGAGTTTTCATCTAAGCGGCCGACCAACTAAGCTATCGGCATATATTGTCATGAAGATAAAATATCGATCATATCATAATATATCGGGCATCAAGCTAACCATAATCTTAATTGTAGATTCAATGTTGTTATTGTAATTGATTTTATTGATGATTGATAACATAGTATTTATTACGCAACTCCACGTCTATGATGTCTAGTACTGTAGAAATATTATTTTGTTAAGCATTTTATAAATTTATCTAAATCATTAAAATGCTCAAAAGCGCTATCTAGTTCATTTTTTGCGAATACCTTACAATACCGTCACCGTCGTGTTCAAGCGAATATAGACCTTAACGTGTCCATGCGCTTATGTAGTCGTCTGTACATATGTGTTTAATAAATTGAAGATTTTTATAAATTTGACACTGGCAACAATGGCATTGCAACAACCTAGTTGCAATACTTAAAAAAGAAGAAGAAGAGAATCGCAAGACTTATATGAAAATCGTTTTCAATAGATTACTCGGTTTTTTATTTTGTACCTTATGACAATGATACTCACGGTGAGTCTGACAAAGGCTGTGTCTCCAGCCTCGCGGTAACGGAACTTGAGGCATGTGTGTTTTTTGATATCTTCGATCGCCTCCTCGATGGTGGCTTGCAGACGAGGATCTGCGAAAAACATTAATTTATTAAACTAAAAGAAATGCTGTTAGACATGTGCGGGCGATTAATTATAATAATAGTAATAAAAAAAATACAACACAGCACAATTTACGACAAATACATACCAATGTTATAATTGAAAATTGAATAGAATATCAAAGTCGTCGTGGCCTAAAGGATAAGACGTCCGGTGCATTAGTATCTAACGATGCATTACTGGTGTTCGAATCCCGAAGGCGGGTAGCAATTTTTCTACATTAAATAAGTAATTAAGAAATGTTAACGATTGACTTCCACGGTGAAAGAATAACATCGTGTAATAAAAATCAAATCCGCAAAATTATAATTTGCGTAATTACTGGTGTTAGGACGTCTTGTGAGTCCGCACGAGTAGGTACCAATGTCCTGCCTATTTCTGCTGTGAAGCAGTAATGCGTTTAGGTTTGAAGAGGGGTGTAGCCGTTGTACAGTAAAAACTGAGACCTCAGAACTCATACATCAAGGTAGGTGGCGGCATATACGTTGTGGGTGTCCATGGGCTCCGGTAACCACTGAACACCAGGTGGGCCGTGAGCTCGTCCACACAACTAAGCAATAAATAAAAAAGAATAAAATGTGTTATTTTAAATATAAACGTTTGTAAAATGCATATCAGAGAACCAAAAACGGATGAAGTGAGAGATAAGTGAAAGATCAAAGGAAAGAACAAAAATACGAGATACGGGCAAGAAAAAGATAAAAAAAAAAGTTTTTTATATTGATATCAATTATTATTTTTTGTACTTTTTGCTAACAAAGAACAAATCGTTCACCTGGAATAATCACCAAACATAATACTTGTGGTAGGGGATATAGGGAATGATAAAATTGGAAATCTACATTCCTTCAGTCGTGACCTCATCAGTCATGAACACCTTCATCCATGATTTTTGTTTTCACGACGTCGTGTAATCTCATCCTGTCTTTGGCTACTCAAAAAAGTGGAAGGAAAAAAGCCGCGGAGGCGTAGTCTAATGGGTTAGTCTGACTAGACTTCGCCCCATTCTTGTTTCCACCGTCTACAATGCGCTCTGAGTAGCCACAATGAAATATATCACCAAAATTCGGAACAATGAAAACGTGAACTGTTAAATTTAGTGAAGAAAAAAAAATTTACTAATTATATATTAATAATAGCCTCACCAAATTCCCCCTCTCCAAATTCCCAAACAACGGTGTTGTTCGGCCACTTAGTATTGGGCCACGTGTACGCGTTACGCCCCATTGCGTACTGCCTGACTAGGATTTCAATCATGAAGTCGTCTAGGATAATATCTCCTTGGAACTTGCCGCTGTTCTCCTCAGGGTTGGCCAGAGGATTGGTCATGGTTCTCGCGGCGAACTGAATCCCATCGCCTGCGGAAACAACAGTTCGCTTGAACCACATTAAAATACCTAATCTTCCTTAGCTTGTATGAAAATAGGATTGAAAAAAACTTATTCAGAAGCAATTTTTATTTTGAAAACGTTCTAACGTCAAGGCAGAAATAGCTTTTAATATAAAGTTATATTTTTAATTACCTATTGTATTATTGTAATATATTTAATTATTATTGTAAACAAGAAAATGTCAATTAAACGAATAAGCCGAGATTATACGTAGTTATGCTTATATAATACAGGTGCCACTCGCGAAGAGATAAGTAATCGAAGAAGCATTTTTAGTTCAAATTCAAGTTCAATAGACAAGTAACTTCTTTAAGAAATAACACAAAATAGAAAACTTTCAAATATGGTGTTAACCATAAAAAAAAGAAGCACGTAGCGGTGTCTGACGTCACAACGCTTTATTTTCTACCTATTAGCTGGATGCGTATGGGGCTATTCCAGCTTCTCGTGGATGAGTAGGTGAATTCACCAGAAACCATTCTCAGAATCTACCATCGAATCGGAATCGTGACCCACTGAGAATCTCAGTGGGTAGATTAGCACTAAATTTCGGGCGTGCTAGAGAAATGTAGGACTTTTTGGCGGGAACGTGAGGAGTGAAGTTGTGTGATTTGTTTTATTTTGTTTACTTTAGTTTAATTAGTTAGTTTAGTTTAGTTTTGTTATATTTTGTAAATTTAATTCGTTTTTAATCATTTATTTTATGTCGCGATTAGTTTATTTCGTTTTGTATTATTCATAAACTGTAAATAATTAAAAAGGCGAATTATAAAAATCTTATTACTTGACGCTGACACAAACCGTGCCGGAGCCAAAAAATAACGAAGAAGAAGAAGAGAAATACACTACCTACGCATCCAATATCCCTTAAAAAACTTCCTTCGGAGTAGACCCGAGGTTCATTTTAAAACCAGATTTGTTACGGTTTTCAAAAAAAGCCCACATGGAATTAACATATACGTATAATGTAATGTTAACATTTCTTTTTGTCAAAACGCGAGTATTTTATTGATTTCAAGTACACCATAAATCATATAAAATCTCACCGGATTTGGTGCTTTCCAGGAAGCTTCTGAAAGCCTGTATTTCCTCTCTAGTCCTCACGACGGCGGGCGTGGCCAACGCGGAGCAGACGATAGTAACTAATAGTGCAATACGCAACATTGTACCTCAATATTGTTATAACATTTCGAGCACTACTTTTATATCATAGTCTATCATAACATCTATAATCGATAGAAATTGACAAGTCACTGATTGCGTTCGGTTTATTATTTAACTAGCGACCCACCCCCGCTTCGCTTCGGGGACTATAATTTATTATTGATTTTATTGAATTTTCTTTTATGCAAATCTGAAACTGAAAAAATGATGTAATATAGGATATTGTATAGCGGATTATTTGTAGTACCAGCATTAGGTTCTACCCGGTGGCTCTCAAAATACTTTTTTTTATTTCTTTATTGCATAGATGTGTGGACGAGCTCACAGCCCACCTGGTGTTAAGTGGTTACTGGAGCCCATAGACATCTACAACGCAAATGCGCCACACACCTTGAAATATAAGTTCTAAGGTCTAAGTATAGTTACAACGGCTGCTTCACCCTTCAAACCGAAACACATTACTGCTTCATGGCAGAAATAGGCGGGACTCACAAGAGGTCCTACAACCAGTAATTACGCAAATTATAATTTTGCGACTTTTATTACACGATGTTATTCTTTCACCGTTGAAGTCAATCGTAAACATAATTTGTTAAGTACGTATTTCATTAGAAAAATTGGTACCCGCCTGCGGGATTCGAACGCCGGTGCATCGCTACATACGAATGCACCGGACGTCTTATCCTTTAGGCCACGACGACTTCAGCTTGTCAGCACTGCCATTCCCCTATCCCCTATCTATTGCCTAGTCACTTCTGGCTGCAATTCGTAGAGCTACAAATGTACTTTACGCCCTTTCAATTTATACACCATTTCAATGAAGCCTGCCAACGTATTTTGCAACAAACATGTGTTGGTAAAAGTTCATTGTTATTCAACCTTGAAAGTTGGCATAAAATTTTCTCGAATAGCTTTTGTAGATCCAAATGACGTCATTTTAAAGCAATTATCGTATTGCTGGATATGAGTCAAAAAATGCTTAGAATCTGATTTATTTTCAATTAATGTCCCGTTTCCAAAACAATGAATGCAGTGGCTTCGGTGGCGGTATCAATTGCGTCAATTTAACTTGAACGCTCACACGACACAATCCAGGAGCTTCATTTTTATACTTAAATTCCTTGAAATATTGGCACACAACGTTTATTGGTCCAATAGCAACGGTTTGCCGTGAACTGTGAAATTTAATTTTTTTACGTCCTCGTATTTTATCAATACAAATTCAACCGAAGCATTTGTTTTAAACGATATTCAGTATTTTTACATCCTCTTTGGGGATATTTGCATGATATTTGCAGCACGCATTCTGTCAATGTTATGTCAAACGCCATAAGGTTACATTAGAAAATTCAATATGGTGATTAAGTATTTTTTTATTTTTCCTAATTTTTCGCACAATTTTCTTATATTTTTCTTTCATAAAAACCTTTTCCTGGCAGTAACAAACACAACAAAAAAAAGATTTAGCGCAATCGGTCCAGCCGTTCGCGCGTTTTGTCGTGACCAAGGGAAATGGGGATTCATTTTTATATATGAGTCGACTATTATCAAAGCCGGCAATCTGACTTTTGGACAATGATTGGTAAATCAGAAAAACGAATTATTGACTTTGTATTCCATTGGCAGTCACATAACTCTTCGGAACGACATCTTAGATGAATAACAGGTTAAGTATTAACCTTTATTTAATGCAGGTTTTGAACCGTATTCTTTGAAGGAGACGATTAAATTCAAATCAATCTGTATTAACATATCAATAAAAATTGTTTGTCCAAATGCACAGATTGCCACCTTTGATAATAGACGACTCATATATTGATTGATTAACACTATTTATCGTACGTAAATTACAGGAATTTTGCAGTTTCATGTTTTTTCTACTGTTGTTTATGTTAATTGACGTAGGCGGTCAAAGGTGCTCACGAGCCTCGTGGCTGAAACAAGTGGGATGGTGATATGTAACTAAGTGACAGTATCTATTCAGCTTTGGTTCCGCATTCTAGCTTTCAGCCCACTGCTGGACACATACCTCCCCAAGCCTCGCCACAACGATCGGTCCTACGTTACCTGCATCCAGCAGATTCCTGCGACCTTCACAAAGTAGTTGGTTGAGATGCACATTACCACCACCCCTCAGAAAAATATAAAATTTATCTAACACCAAATTTAAGTAGTAAGATTTTATTAACAACAAAAATGATAAACTCAGTCAATATTCAGTTTCGCTGCAAAACAGTAATGTATTACGGCTTAAAAGGTAGGGACGCTCTTTATTGAGACAATTTAGACTCGGGTCTCAAGACGTGTGGCGACATTGCTGTGTACCTAAATAGTTATGTATCCATAAGCTTCTTCTTCTTCGTAATCTACAGTCCATGCAATATGCAAAAAAATACTCATAATTTAATTTCACCAAATCAAAATAAAGGAACCCTAAATAGACTTCGTTTAAGAATTTCAAACAAATCTATTTAATCACTTTGATTTGCTACTATCGTTAGAAATCTTTGATAAAGTATTTGAAATCAATATAACGTCAAAAGGTTAATCTAACATCGCCAATATTATTATGTACATCCATAATGTATGGTATTACTGAATTCTTATAATTATATCTTATCCGTATTAAGTGTTTATAAGTTACATAACAGAGTATTATTATAATGTTTTTTTTTTATAGCCTTTGTAGGAAGACGAGCATACGGCCCACCTGATGGTGAGTGGTTACCGTCGCCCATGGACTTCAGCAATGCCAAGGGCAGAGCCACGCCGCTCCCTACCGCTTAATACTCTCCACAAGCCTCGTTTGAAGAAGGACATATCATAGCGCTCGGGAAACACCGTGGAGGGGAGCTCATTCCATAGCCGGATGGTACGAGTATGTATGAGCAAATACCGACATTGTAACTATGCTTGAGACCTTAGAACTTGTATCTCAGGGTGGGTGGCGGCATTTACGTTGCCAGTTATCGGAATAGGATAAGACGCACCGTAAATTTTAGCACAAATCCTGTTCAAATCCCACAGACAGCTACTAATTTTTCTGGGCACATGCGAACTTACATGTGCCTTTTATTGCTTAGATGGTTGGCCGAGCTTAGAGCCCGCCTGGCGTTAACTACTTACCGGAGCCCATAGACATATATAACGTAAATGCCGCCACACACCTTGAGACATGAATTCAAAGTTCTCGGTTTTTTAAGTTCAACGGCTGCCTCGCCCTTGAAATCGAAACGCATTACAGCTTCACAGCAGAAATAGGCGGGTGGTGGTACCTACCCGTGCGGACTCACAAGTCACAAGACGTCCTGCCATCGTTAATTACGCATATTATAATTTTGCGAATATGACTTGTTATTATACGATGATTATTCCTTTACGGTGGAAGTCAATCATGAACGTTTATTATGTAGTTATTTCATTAGAAAGATTGGTAACTGCCTGCGGGGTTTGAATACCATTGCATCAATACGAATGTCTTATCCTTTATGACGCGACATCTTCATGAGTCCAGGGATAGCTTTTATGCTGACGCAGTAACGTCGTGAACTGTAGTAACATATGCATGATTACTGAGGATGGGACGCTATGTAAGCGCGCATTGGTAAGTACTTTTTTCTGGCTCAAAGTAATCTTGCCTAACAATTCGAATAAATGTGAATGTGTTTTTTGTTGATTTGTTTGTTTGTTTATCATATTTTAATTTTCAGAGACAGAGAGAGAGAATATTCTTTAATGTACCTACACCAAAAAAATAAATAAACAATGTGATACATTTTTTTTTATTCTTTATTAGAGCCATACACCTATTAGGTTAAGTCAGCTTGCGATACATTAAATACAAAAGAAAGTACAATTGGCGGTCTTATCGCTAAGAGCGATCTCTTCCAGACAACTATGAATTTGAAGTCATCGTGGCCTAAGGGATAAGAAGTCCGATGCATTCGTGTTGAGCGATGTACCGGTGTTCGAATCTCAGGCCAGTACCAATTTTTCTAATGAAATACGTACTCAACAAATGTTCACGATTGACTTCCACGGTGAAGGAATAACATCGTGTAACAAAAATCAGACCCGCAAAATTATAATTTGCGTAATTACTGTTGGTAGGAACTCTTGTAAGTCCGCGCGGTTGGGTACCACCACCCTGCCTATTTCTGCCGTGAAACAGTAATGCGTTTCGCTTTGAAGGGTGGGGCAGCCGTTGTAACTATACTGAGACCTTAGAACTTATATCTCAAGGTGGGTGGCGCATTTATGGTTGTAGATGTCTATGAGCTCTAGTAACCACTTAACACCAGGTGGGCTGTGAGCTCGTCCACCCATCTAAGAAAAAAAAATAAGAAAAAAATAAAAAAAGATAATTAAAGATAAATTAGGCAAATATTAGGCACCTATTTTTCTTCTTTATTAGAATGAGAATCGAGTACTGAGCACTCTATATCAATATGTAAAGTGTTCAACCAGTCAGCCTGTATTATAATATAACATGCGCATCATAGATGATGAGATGAGTGATATTTTTTATGCGCTTATATTTATTTTTCGTTGTAATTTTGGGCAATAAAAAAAGAAATATCTTAAACACCTTTTTTATTTTTCTATGTTATTTCCGTTCAATTAAAAGCCCGTTACAGTTTCCATGTTTCACTTCTTGGATTTTTTTTTTTTTTATTGCTTAGGTGGATGGACGAGCTCACAGCCCACCTGATGTTAAGTGGTTACTGGAGCCCATAGACATCTACAACGTAAATGCGCCACCCACCTCGAGATATAAGTTCTAAGGTCTCAGTATAGTTACAACGGCTACCCCACCCTTCGAACCGAAACGCATTACTGCTTCACGGCGGAAATAGGCGGGGTGGTGGTACCTACCCGTGCGGACTCCCNATGGATGGACGAGCTCACAGCCCACCTGATGTTAAGTGGTTACTGGAGCCCATAGACATCTACAACGTAAATGCGCCACCCACCTCGAGATATAAGTTCTAAGGTCTCAG